CCCCCCCCCCCCCCCCGGTTTCGTCTGGCCCGGTCCGTCCGGACCGGGCGTCGGCCTGACCCAGCTGTTTTCCTCTTTTGCCGAAGGTGTCATGTGTCTCGTGTTGCTTTTGCATGGGGTCTTCTGTTTTCCTCTTTTGCTGAAGGTGTTATGTGTGACGTGGTGCTTTTGCGTGTGCTGCAGGTGGATGGCATCGTCTATCTTGTGGATGCCTATGATGTTGCCCGATTCCCAGAGTCGAAGAAGGAGCTCGATGCGCTGCTATCTGACGATTCACTTGCTCAGGTCCCTTTCTTAATTTTTGGGAACAAGATTGATATCCCTTATGCAGCCTCGGAGGATGACCTTCGGCGGTCGCTTGGACTCTCGAGCTGCACCACAGGCAAGGGAAGGGTCAATCTCCAAGATATGAACATGCGTGCGATCGAAGTGTTCATGTGCAGTGTGGTGAAGAGGTCTGGCTACGCGGAGGGGTTCAAGTGGCTCTCCCAATATATCAAGTGAGGGCTGCATGGATGGGGAGAGTAGAAGGGAGGGGTGTGAGATGATGGAATTGTTGGTATTTGTTGGTTACTACCAAGGTCAGTTCCTTTGTGTGCTGGTGATCTTTTCTCTATGCCGTTAGGGCATGCGAGGCGGGGAGCTATTGGGTGGGTTCACACGGAGAGTGGTAATCGCGGATGGTCGAAGGGGTTAGGCGTGAAAGAGGTGGCTGTAAGGGAGGCCCCGGAGGGGAAAGTCCTGCATTACATATTCTGTGGTGAAAAAAGGACAAAAGGGTTTTGCAAGAATCGTCGGACTAGTAAATGATGGGGGGGGGGAAGGGGGTGGTCTTCTGATCCTCTGGGTGTCTGTTCTTCTGCGGGGCCTTTCCTTTGGAGGCCATGTGCCATTCGATTTCAGTTTATCGTTTCCAACCCGTTTCTTTGTCATGTCGGGTCGTCTGAAAAAGCATCTCGTCAAAGTTGTTTCTACCTTTCACCGAAAACACCTCGTTTTGCTTCCACGGAGGAGCCTCCACTGTCAGGGTTATGCAGCTCAGAGCTGTCTTTTTCTCAGAGGTTTTGTCACGTATCGTCCTTAGCTGTCTCTTGCTACATGTCTTGCTGATTGGTTCTGTGAGCTGTCTCTGCAGGATCCTCTTTTTTTCCCCTGGAGTTATTGTCGATCCCTTACCGAAGTGCAGAGGTTAAGGAAAGGTACAATTGTCAATTCATTGCGGTGTGGTTGACTTGATTCACTTCCATTTATATTTGAAAGCTCAGAGATTTACTTGCAACCGTGAATAATTCCGTAAATGTTGCGGGATCTTGCGGTGGAGGTATGCATCTGACATGTGTGTCTTTGGGGATTCTTTTCTTAAGTGGACTGGTGAGTGAGTGATCCTGAAGTCATGGCACGAGCCCGTGATGTTATTATTGATTCATGGTTCATGCTGAATACCTAAAAAGTTTTACTTGGAAATTGCAATCATCTGGAGATGAGGCCATGGTCTCTTGGTGTGTGTGTGTGTGTGTGTGTGTGTGTGTGTGTGTGTGTGTGAGAGAGAGAGAGAGAGAGAGAGAGCTTTGTGAAAGTCTCTATGAAGGTGGGTGATTGTGCGTGATGAAGTTGTCGATGATGCCAGTGGGAGTTAAAGGCGATACCGGATGTGCAGCTGCGATTGATTGTGAAATGTTTCGTCACAAAACTAACAACCACTGTTCCAGTTTCTGCTTGATTTGTTTGCATTCACTCGTGTTTTTGTTTCTACGATGCCAGTACGTGTAGTTTTGGTAGTGGGTCTGCTTGCACTTCACCAGGTTTTCTTTTGCTGGTCTGCAGCAGTAGTGATAGAACTTCTTTTGTTTGATTGTGAGTGCAAAGGAACTCAAAGCTGATATGCGGCTCGGTCAGATTAATGTTATCCTGTGATAGCCCTACCTGAAACCGTAAGACACAACAATCTGAATTTCGGAGTGTGCTTTACAGGCTGTGGTGATTGTGTCTCAATATCTTCAGCTGCGTGTACTCAAGGTTATCAGTATGGAAAGATATCCACCATCAGAGAGAGAGAGAGAGAGAGAGAGAGCAGAATCGGTTATCAGTGTAGAAAGATATCCACAATCAGAGAGAGAGAGAGAGAGAGAAGAATCTGCAGTTGCACGGTCTGAAGGTTATCAGTATGGAAAGATATCCACCATCAGAGAGAGAGAGAGAGAGAGAGAGAGAGAGAGAGAGAGAGAGTTAGCAGGAAGTTTTTCCCTTTGAAGTCTCAGAGAACTGCATTATGGTGTAATGTTCTTCACCCTGAGGTTGTGGTCGTCTGGGAAGCCTTATTATCTGCGCGTTTGAACCTGGAGTTGGGCTGTCGTGCGCTTGGCAGCGGTCAATGTGCATTGTGAATGTGTCAAAGGAGGTGGGTTGTGCCATTCATGAGCTTTTACCTGTGGTAAGCGCTGGAATTTAGGTCACTGGTCTGATAACCCGTTGGCGGTGGGCCATGTTCAGCTACGAGTAGGTGGTCATGGCAGTCACAATTTTTCGCCTATGGAGCCGTCTTTGCGTTGACCCCGATTGCACATTCCCTCCTCCTCACAACTCTGATCCAAACTCTGCCTGCCTTACCTGCAACTTTCTATGTTTTGGTTGGTGATAGCGCTCGGATTGAGATAGTGCTTGTTCTACCATGCAGTCCTCTGAGGCCGTTGTCTGTACGTCTGATTTATATTACAGGAGTCTGGCTTCTGTGTTCACCCTTCTCTGAATGCATAAGAAGTTCATAAACGCATAATGCGATGCATAGCTGTCGTGCGCCAAGCGGAACACAAGAAGCTTCAATGTTGCTATTAGTGTGTGCAAATTAGGGTACATATTCATTTCAAGAGTTTGGTGACCACGCCAGCCTCCGGCCTGAAAGGTAGTGGTGGTTCAAAATGGAAGGATACCATTCCAGTTCTCCTTGGTAGAGTGGGTTTCATGTGGGGGGAACAATGGATCTGCGAAGATGCCTTGCAGTGATAACCAGATTTGAGTTTTTCTCTCTCTCTGGACTGTTTCCCTCTTAATGGTGTGCCAACGCATTGAGAAAAGATCCGAAAAAAAAATATACTAAGATGGCCAAGAACAAATTTTGGTGGCAGAAGTTCACAATTCTTTTGCTTGCTCTGCTTCCACGGTAGGTGCAAAGCTTTCGAGTTCCTTGTCATGTGGGTAGTGCTATTCGGAAGTGTCTGGAGGGTGGGTGGGTGGTTCAATCAGGTTGTGATGACTTGAGCTTGGCCCGCATTGGCACTTTGATTGTAGGTTTTTTTTTTTGGGCCTTCTTTTTTGAAGAAGTCCGGCCGGTCTACCGTGGAAATTGGAGCTATTTGGCCTCCAAATTTCCAAAAGATATGGATGTGTTAAATCCTCGCGAATCACCAATGGGATTACATCAGTTGGTACACCCAGAAACTGTTGAGAACCTCGGGAATCACCAACGGGAGTAGATCAGTTGGTACACCCAGAAACTGTTGAAAGACAGACCCGGGTTTGAATCCAGATGAAAGTCGATGAGCGATGTGATATAATCCCCAATTGGTGGTGGTTGAGAATGAAATCACATGATGGTCGCCTTTTTGTCTTTTTGTTTTTTGTCTTTGTTTTCAAAGATCGAGAGAACGAACGATCTGGCACTCTTGACCCAGTCAGGCCGAGTATAACTTGGCAGGAGCAGAATATGTTCTGGACCAGGGCTGGTGTTTGAAGGCGAGTGGGGTCTCTCTTGTGACTTGGAGCCTCTCTTTGACTTCAGGGACATTGAACATCTGGTGACTTTGCGGGGATGCATGGGTGGCTGAAGCGAAAGCCGCCATCTGGCAATAAACAGCTGGCTACGCTAAGAGGAGAGAAACCCCAGATGTGGTCGTGCACAAGAGAGAGAGAGAGAGAGAGAGGCGGGGGGTGTTTTTCCCTATTTTTTAGCAGCAGATTGTAGTGCTCTTTTCATCTTTTTGAGCAGCAGAGTGTAGTGCTGCTAGAAGAGCATATTTGAAAATACTAGACCAACTTTGCTGTTATAATACCATGGGCACCTAAAAAGATGAAATAACAAATATGTAAAGTATACTTACACTGAAATCTGACAGTACCATACCGTAATCAAAAGGTAGTACAGTTCGAGTGGCATTTTCACCATTAACCACAGCTCATCCACTGATTTTTCAACATCGGTTGGCCGGTTGGTCTGGGCCTCCACTTAGTCTTACCCGACCACCCATTTGTGTACTCGCTATTTGATGGACTCCTGGAAAACATAGTGTGCGCCAAGTCGCACAGTCGAGAAAGGTAACGTCAGTTGTCACACTAGAGAATACATACAAACAAAGGTATCTATCGTACGAGGGATATATGATAGAGGAACTGAGGTAAGTGAAAACTCTGATTGATTGTATCATTTGTTGACACAAAGCTTGTAACGGAGGCACAGAAGGTGGTCCATCGTCTCTCTCTCTCTTCTCTGCTCTTTCTCTCTGTGTCTCTCTCTCTCTTCTCTTATCACTACTCTATCATTACACCCCTTTAACACATCTGTAGGAGGTCTTATCGTTGCTCTTACATTATATCCTGCGCTCGCTTGCTTACATTACATCCTGCACTTTTTTTGAAGTCTAGGGTGTTGTAGAGGTCGGTTTCTGGACCCATGACAGGTACCTATCTACAGTCTGCAACTAATTTATGGGACCCAGACCATCCTATTTTGGAGGATCCCCCTCAGAAAGCGCCTACTGCAGTTTCCCCAACGATTTCCTCCACCAGAGTCTGTCTATTAACACCCCTCCTACCGGGATCCCATAAGACAATCCCCTACTGTAGGTTCCCCACCGATAACCTCCAGCAGAGCTTGTCCAAAACCAACCCTCCCCCCAAACGGGACCCCATCCCACCTAAGGTCCTTGACTTCCCCCCCCAAAAGCAGAGCCTAAGGTAACCAACACACATGAGTAGTATAACCACAAACGCGTACCTGCATCCTCATTAGACTGCTAACTGTATCAGGCGAACCCCTAGTACATTAGATCCTGCACTAGCTCACGAGCTGAAGCAGTGCTTGAGAGGAGAAAACAGATTGGGGGAAGTAAATGAAGTGCGACAGACACAGAGAGGGGAAACAAGTGAACGGAGGGAGGGAGTGGAATACATCGAGAGAGGTAGGTAAAACAAATGCAAACTTTCCATGCATGTTGCGACGTGCACGTTGGAGGTGCTGCCACCGCTCAGCAGTTCCAGGTTACCCTACCAGTAGATAGAAAGAATTTGATCGATTCAATGATGGGGTAGCGACAAACAATTTTGTGTTGTCTAAAATAGTGTATAAGCGGAGGCTTGTTATCATGAATTCGAGATCAAAAGTTTTTGGACTCGATAGCATTTTTCATCAAACGAGATGCCAAAATGTTCAGTCAAATTATTCTGCCTGAATTAGACATTCAATTGAATGAGGTGTGCAAAGCTTCTCAAAACAAAATACAGACTTTGAGAAATACATTCTACAAGTACTTTTCACAAACAAGCTATTAATGGGTGGGAAGTAGCTAACTATGTATCATCCATCAGGTGGCCCAACAATGGGCTGAAGATTCTTTCTTCCCTCTGCGGACAAAAGAGGAGTCGGAGGAGGGTGCGTCCCTGTCCCCATCCCTGTCCATGAACACGGATAGGCAATGGATGCTCTGCTGATTCGACCCCCAGAGTGAATCGGTCCGTAAGGAAACCCCGAAAGGCGGCGTCAATGGGTACTAGAAAGTGACGAAATTTGAATTAAGCTAGCGCTACTGAACAAAACAAAATTGTATGATTGGACAGGGCCTCAATTTCCAGGAACAAACTTGGGTTTTAACTGAAGTGACAAGAGTCACATGAAACCCACGAAGGTGCTCAAACATTTCGAAATGATGGGAGACTGGGCCGGTGTCCCAGCTGGGGAATCGGGGAGGTGTACAGTTGTTTGTTTGTCAGTCATTGGGTTCTCGCTCCACTACTCTTGACTATCCAATATTCTACAGTTTGGTATATTTTTTACATCGCTCCACTAAATCCGAAACCAATTGTGGGAGTTCTCTTTCAAAGCTGTCAGACCTCCCGTAGAAAAAAGCACTCTCCTTGCTTGTTTAGTTCCTGGCCTGCGAAATCTGTTAGTTGTAGAGTGCTGCTTCAAGCCCAGGATTGGGCTCTGAATCTCTAGAGTCAGCCTCCAGTCTGGGCGGATGACATTCCTATGATAGCGCGTCTTCTACTCCTGTCAATGTGCTTCGTTTGCCGTGCCTTTGCGTAGGTGGAGGTGTAGAGTTCGTGGGGAGGGACGATATGTGTTCCGCCACTTTTTCCAGTCTGACAGCGATAAAAATACTGTACAATTTTTTTTTTTTCCCCTGTAGTGGAGAGTAGTGTTTCCAGTATGTGTTGCTTGCCACAAAAAGGGTGGAGCCACCCACAACAGTGGGACATTGTGCAGGTTGGCGCCACTGGAATCGCGATGTGAACTAATGAAGGGATGCGATAGTGTTTAAATGTGAGACTCTTCTGCGGGCGTCGGTGGTCTTCGACAAAATTTTATCATGGCGTGAGAGAGTGTGACTGCATGTAGGCTACGGAAGGCGAACATATGAACTCGTTGCGACCGCATGGGTGGCTTATAAATAGAAAAAGAAAGAAAAGGATCAGTTTGTCATCCAACATACGAAAGGCAATATGAAGTCTGCAGCAAGCGGTCTTTCCTTCCATAGGGCAAGTAATCAATGCTGCTTAGCCTGGGTTTCTCGGCCAGAATGTGGAGGGGATAAATTGATAATTGTGCCGGGGATGAAACCATTCAATTTTAAGATGGAATTGGGCTATCTGGCCTAGAAAAAGAGCATCAAGTGTTTAAAAAAGCCTCCTGGAATTGGGCTGTTTGGTCCCATCTGGAATGGACAGGAGGCTTTTCTAACCACTCAATGCTCTTTTCTGCTTTCTCTTGATAGGCGAAGGACTCTTTTTTCTACTTTTCTTTTTTCTTTTTTTCTAAACGACTTTTTTTTTCTTTTCTATTTTTAAGAAAAGAAAGTATAAAAGAGAAGGGACTCTGTGGCAGATCGCTGTAGATAAGCTGGAAGTGCAGTTGGCCGAAACCAGGAGTGTTGTTTTGTGGGGGTATACGAGTTAATCCATGAAAGAATTGTGTTATTTAGATGTAGATAAGCAGTGTCGTCTGTACTTCATGTTCAAGATTGGGAGGAGAGCCGTTATTTGGGCCCTTTGGAGGTGATATTACCTATTGAAAAGGTGAAGAATAGATGGCGAGGAAATGACCGAGCTACTTAAACAATACGACGATAGAATGAGACGAGACTATATCATCTGCTTTAAGGACTGGACTGAGGTGGATAAAGCAATACCGCTGCGGCCCAACTTCACTCACTCCCATAGGGGCAGTTGTAAAAAAAAAAAAAAAAAAAAAAAAAAAAAAAAAACCGTGCCCGCTGAAATATCCACGGGGGG